ATTTCCCTTTTGAGTTCTTCTTTGACTCATGGATTATTTAAAAATAATGTTATTTAGTTTATAGGTAATTGATTTTCCAGAGATCTTTTTGTTATTAATATCTATTTTAATTGCATTGTGGTCAAAGAATGTACTTTATGTGACTTGAATCCTTGTAAATTTATTGAGACTTGTTTTATGGCCTGGAATATGGTCTGTCTTGGTAAATGCTCTGTGTGTACTTGAGAGGAATGTGTATTCTGTGTTTTGAAGTGGAATATTCTATAAATTTCAGTTAAGTCAGCTGGTTGATAGTGCTATTCAAGTCTATTATATCCTTGATTTTCTGCCTGCCTGTAATATCAATTATTGAGAGAGGGATTGAAATTTCTGACTACAGTTATGGATTTGTCTATCTCTCCTTGCACTTCTCTCAGATTTTATTTCATATATTTTGTAGCTCTGTTTTTAGGTGCTTACATATTGAAGATTATTGTCCTCTTAATTAATTGACTCCTTTATCATTAGGAAATGACATCCTTTATCCCTGGTAATATTCTTTGCTTTGAAGTCTGCTTTTTCTAGTATTAATACAGCCCCTCTAGCTTTTTTTTTTTTTTGACTAGTGTTAGAATGTTAGTTTTCCATCTTTTTATTTTAACCTATGTGTGTCTTTATATTTCTTACAAGCAGCATATAGTTGAGTCTTACTTTTTATCCAGTCTGATGAACTCTGCCTTTTAACTCGAGTGTTTAGACCATTTATATTTGATGTGATTATTGATGTGGTTCAGTTTTAGGGTGTCATCTTTCTATTCGTCTCATCTGTTCTTCGTTTTCTTTTTTCTGACTTTTGGATTATTTATTATGAATCCATTGTATGGAATCTTTATTTATTAAATACTCTCAGTTCCTTTGTTGACTTATTCGCTATAACTCTTTGTTTTATTATGTTTGTGATTGCTGTAGGACTTATAATATACATCTTTAACTTATCCCAGTCTACCTTCAAATGATGTGATACTACTTCACGTGTATTAAAAACTTTACAATAAATACTCTGTTTCTCCCCTTCAAGCCTTTATGCTATTGTTTAAACAGTTATTTTTTTAAGAGATTTTTTGAATGTCTTATATATTTACCCATATATTTACCATTTTTGGTGCTTTTTATTTGTTTGCATAGGTAAATCCGTATTTTCATTTGTTATAATTTTAATTCTGCCTGAGGACTTCATTTAACATTTCTTGTAGTGTGGATCTGCTGGTGATTGACTCTTTCAGCTTTTGTGTACCCGAAAACATCTTTATTTTGCCTTCATTTTTTTTTTTTAATTTTATTTATGTTGTTGTTGAGAATGTACACAGCAAAGCTTACACCAATTCAACAGTTTTTACACGTAAAATTCAGTGACACTGATTATATTTTTTGGGTTGTGCAACCATTCTCACCCTCCTTTTCTGAGTTGTTCCTCCCCTATTAACATAAACTCACTGCTCCCTAAAGTTCCTGTCTAATCTTTGAGTTGCCGTTGTCACTTTGATTGCATATAGATAGTTCTTAAGAGAGCATAATACTCAAGGCAGACATTTTTTACTAGTTAAGCTAAACTATTGTTTGGTTTTAAGAAGACTTCAGGGGATATTTTTGGTTTAAGATTTAAAGATTATCTTAGGGCAATAGTTTCAGGAGTTCATCCTGCTTCCATGGGTGCAGAAAGTCTGGAGTCCATGAGAATTTGAAATTCTGTTCTACATTTTCCCCTATTTGATCAGGTTTCTTCTATAGAATCTTTGATCTAAATGTTCAGTAATGGTAGCTGGGCAGCATCCAATTCTTCTGGTCTCATGGCACAGGAGGCGGTTGTTCATGGAGGCAGTTAGCTACATATTCCATTTCCTCCTCTGATTATTTTGTCTTCATTTTTGAAAGATGTTTTTGCTAGGCAGAGAATTCTAGACTGACAGGTTTATTTGTTTTCTTTCAGTACTTTACATAAGGCAGTACACTGTCTTTTGGCTTGCATTATTTCTGATGAGAAATCTGCTTTATCTTTATCTTTGTTTCTGTTATCTAACATGTCTTTTGTTCTCTGACTGCTTTTAAGATTTTCTCTTTATTACTGGTTTTTAGCAATTTGATTATGATGTCATTGATTTTATTTTTCATGTTTCTTGTGCTTTGGGGTTCATTGGGCTTCTTAGATCCATAGGTTTATAGTTTTCATAAATTTGGAAAAATATTCAGCCATTATTTCCTGAAATATTTTTTCTGTTCATCTCCCCCCGCCTCCCGTAACCCCCTGGGGACTCCAGTTTCACCTGTATTAGGCTGCTTGAAGTTGTCCCACAGCTCATTGATACTCCGTTCAGTACTTTTGTTTCTTATTCTCTGTGTATTTCGTTTTGGATAGTTTCCTTTGCTGCAGATGATTTCAAAAATGGTTGCAGCAGTACATTGACAGGGAACTGCCAGAAATTCAAGCCTGAATCAGAAGAGAACGTGGAAAGAGGGATATCATTGCTGACATCAGATGGATCTTGGCTGAAAGCAGAGAATACCAGAAAGATGTTTATCTGTGTTTTATTGACTGCAGAGGCATTCGACTGTATGGATCATAACAAATTATGGATAATGTTGCAAAGAATGGGAATTCCAGAACACTTAATTGTGCTCATGTGGAACCTGTACATAGACCAGGAGGCAGTCATTGGAACAGAACAAGGGGATACTGCGTGGTTTAAAATCAGAAAAGGCGTGTGTCAGGGTTGTATCCTTTCACAATACTCATTCAGTCTGTGTACTGAGCAAATAATCGGAGAAGCTGGACTATATGAAGAAGAATGCAGCATCAGGATTGGAGGAAGACTTGTTAAAAACCTGCCGTATGCAGATGACACAACCTTGCTTGCTGAAAGTGATTTACTGATGAAGATCAAAGACTGTAGCCTTCAGTATGCATTACACCTCAACATAAAGAAAAACAAAAATCCTCACAACTGAACCAGTAAGCAACATCATGATAAACGGAGAAAAGATTGACGTTGTCAAGGATTTCATTTTACTTGGATCCACAATCAACACCCATGGAAGCAGCAGTCAAGAAATCAAATAATATAATACATTGGGCAAATCTGCTGCAAAAAGACCTCTTTTTAACTGTCAAAGCAAACATGTCACTTTGAGGACTAAGGTGCGCCTGACTTAAGCCATGGTATTTTCAATCACCTCATATACATGGGAAAGCTGAACAGTGAATAAGGAAGACAGAAGAACTGGTGCCTTTGAATTATAGTGTTGGTGAAGAATATTGAATATACTATGGACTTCCAGAAGAACAAACAAGTCTGTCTTGGAAGAAGTACAGCCAGAATGCTCCTTAGAAGTAAGGATGGCGAGACTTCATCTCACGGATTTTGGATATGTTATCAGAGGGACCAGTCCCTGGAGAAGGACATCATACTTGGTAAAGTAGAGGGTCAGTGAAAAAGAAGAAGACCCTCAACAAGACGGATTGACACAGTGGCTGCAACAATGGGCTCAAACATAGTGTATTAGTTATCTAGTGCTGCTGTAACAGAAGTACCACAAATGGATGGCTTTAACAAAGAGAAATTTATTCTCTCACAGTTCAGGAGGCTAGAAGTCCAAATTCAGGGTGCCAGCTCCAGGGAAAGGCCTTCTGTCTCTGTCAGCTCTGGAAGAAGGTCCTTGTCATCAATCTTTCTCTAGGTCTAAGAGTTTCTCAGCTCAAGGACCCCGGGTCCGAAGGATGCACTTCTCTCCCGACTCTTCTTTCTTGGTGGTAGAAAGTCCCTTTCTGCTTACTTCTCTCTTTTATATCTTAAAAGAGATCGACTTAAGATACAACCTAATCCTGTAAATTATGTCCTGCCTCATTAACATAACGGACAGCTCACTCCCAAATAAGATCATAACTATAGGCATAGAGGCTAGGATTTACAACTCATAGGATAATTACATCAGATCACAAAATGGAGGACAACCACACAATACTGGGAATTATGGCTTAGCCATGTTGGCACACATTTTTGGGGTACACAATTCAATCCATGATATAGCAATGATTGTGAGGATGGTGCAGGACCCGGCAATGTTTCATTGTTTTTCATGGGGTCACTATGAGTTGGAATTGACAGCACCTAACAGCAACTATTGCTATGTCTTCAAGTTCACAAAATTTTTCTTCTGCATTGTCTAATCTGCATTAATCCCATTCAGTGTATTTTTTTTTATCATACACATTGTAGTTTTCATCTCTAGAAGTTCAATTTAGGTATTTTTTACATCTTCAATGCAGCTACTTAACTTTTTCAACATCTGGAACAATTATAACTTTTAATGTCCATATCTGTTACTTCTACCATGTGTATTAGTTTTGGGTCAGTTTATTATTATTCTTATTATGGGTCGTGTTATTCTGCTTCTGTGTGTGCCTTGTCTCCCTGAAGTATTAAGCAGAATACTAATTTCCTTATGTGAATAAGGAAACTACCTAATTCTGGAAAACTGTCATAATAAAGGATTAGCCTGATATTCACATAGTAATATTCGTTGAATAGTAGTGCTTGTTCCCAGTAGCCGGACTGAAAAACATCATAATTTATGGGGCATTGAATAGAGTACTCAGGAATGTCTTGCCTCAGTAGTGGGGAATATGAGCTCTACACTGAACATTGCCTCAGAGCCACCTAACAAATCATAAAAACAAGACCTGAAAGGATCAGACTATTTCCAAGCAACTTAACTGCATCCCGGACAAAGCTTAAGAAGATTTATAGGAATACAAAAATATCCAGAACCGAACAAGGTAAAATTCTCTGTATTTCTATTTTTTGATATCTTGAATTCTTTGCATTTCTTTAATTATGAGTAAGGTTGACTGTCTTTTATGTGTTTATAAGCTTTGTGTGTGTGTGTGTGTGTGTGTGTGTGTGTGTGAACTATCTGTTCCTGTCCTTTACCCATATCTTTTTTGGATTGTTGGTCTTCTTTGTTAGGTATCTCGCAAATACAGTTGAAGAAGATGAAGAAGAATCGAAGTATGAAATTTTTCCATGGGCTTTAGGAAAAAACTGGAGAAAATTGTTCCCTGATTTCTTAAAGTTAAGGGACCAACTCTGGGATAGAATTGACTATAGGGCTATTGTAAGCAGGCGATGCTGTGAGGAGGTAAGGATTTTAAAATATTTTATATATGTTATCTCTATCTTCTGTTCATGTAATTTTCTTTGTCTAATTTTTTAATGTGCTACTAATGTTTCATTTTTTGTGTATTTAAGGATACACCATTATCCTTGATCATTATCATGAATGCAACTTGTGTATTGCAATGTTGCCATTTTAATTTTATATCATAATAATTAAAAATTGTCATTTCTGTGTTTCAGAGCAGACTACTTCTGTAACAAGTATTTTTATTTTAGTGTGTTCCTGCTATCTAAAATAGCACCAGTTGGGAGAGGGTGGTATGAACATACCAAAATCTTATTGAGAATGGTAATAACACTGGAATTGAATAATAATTTACATTAAAGTATGTGAAATTTCAAGTTCCTAAGATTGAAATACCAACTACAGGGTATAAAATTTTTAAAAAATTAAATTTGTTTAATAACCATACCACTTTTCACATAGACTACATAGAGTAAGTTTTCTTGATGCCAGATTCTATTATGATAAAGTGACAGGACACTAAAATTTAAAAGATCAATTGTTTTGTCAAATGTTCTGGTTTTCAGTAAAGAAGAAAGCTCATGTTTCAAACTAAAAAAAAAATCTAGAAAATTAAATGGAAATCAGTGATCACTGTAAGCCAGTATTAGTTCAGAAAAATTTGATAAATGTAGGCTAGATGATCTTGTAATTGAGTCATATCCAGTAAATGACTCTTGCCCCAAAGAGCCAGTTAATGGGGTTGATATCAAACCTGAGGGAAGACTTTAGTGGTATGTCACTGAACTCTTTCCAGAACTAACTTTGTTAATTATATTTGTTAGTGAGATGAAGACATGGCAAATATGTCTATTTGTGGATTAAATTAGGATTCTTAAATGTTGAGGGAAATGCAAAGATTCAGAAATAACTTAGAAGACTGTACAGCAGGACTGTACAAGATTAAATTTAATAGAAAAAGATGCCAAGATTTGTATATACGGCCCCCGAAATGAATGGATCCTCATGAAAGCATTGAAGGTCGATTCATTCCAGTTACAGGGCCTTGAAAGAGTTCTTCATTGTTATATTTTTTTGGTCACTGCCTCCCCATGTCAAGAGTGGGTAGTTTGCACCCCTGCTGCCATCCTTGAATATGGTAACGGGCCTGATTTGAACACTAATTTTTTCAAAGTAAATACTTCAGGCCCCATGGGACACTGTCTTAGTTATCTAGTGCTACTGTAACAGAAATACCACAAGTGGATGGCTTTAACAAACAGAAATCTATTCTCTCACAGTTCAGGAGGCTAGAAGTCCAAATTCAGGGTGTCAGCTCCAGGGGAAAGCTTTCTGTCTCCATCGGCTCTGGATGAAGGTCCTTGTCATCAGTCTTCTCTTGGTCTGAGAGCATCTCAGCACGGGAACCTCAGGTCCAAAGGACGTGCTCTGCTCCCGGTGCTTCTTTCTTGTGGATGAGGTCCCCAACTCTCTGCTTGCTTCCCTTTTCTTTTATCTCTTGTAACATAACGGGTGGTGCAGGCCACACCCTAGGGAAACTCCCTTTACTTTGGATCAGGATGTGATCTTAGTAAGGGTGTTATACAATCCCACCCTAATACTCTTTAACATAAAATTACAATCACAAAATGGAGGACAACCACACAATACAGGGAATCATGGCCCAGCCAAACTGATACACACATTTTTGGGGGGACATAATTCAATCCATAACATTCCACCCTTTGGCCCCCAAAAAATCACATCCTTGCAACATGCAAAACATATTCACCCCATCATATCATAGCAAAAGTCTTAAGTC